TTTGGGGTAACCTACAAATAGGCAACGACTGGTCTTGGATTCCAATTTGGAGTAACTTGCAAAACACATTTTTCTTGTACCCATTGTCTACCATGAAGGACTCAAATTTCTTGTACCACTGCGTAGGTGCTTGTTTTAACCCATAGAAGCTCTTTTCTTAGTTTACAAACCATGTGTTCTTTTCCCTTGTCTTCAAACCCTTCCGATTGCTCCATGTAGATGTCTTCTTCCAAATCACCATGAAGAAATGCAGTTTTGACATCAAGCTGCTCAACCTCTAAATTCATGTTTACTGCTAGGCCCAATACTACTCTGATTGATGACATCTTCACAACTAGAGAGAAGATTTCATCAAAATCAATGCCATTTTTCTGACCAAAACCTTTCACAACCAACCTTGCTTTGTACCTTGGTTGTGAGTCTTTTTCTTCTGTTTTAAACCTAAATACCCATCTATTCTTAAGTGCCTTTTTGCCTTTAGGTAAATCCACCAAGTCATAAGTGCAATTCCTATACAATGAATGTAGTTATTCTTGCATAGCTTTCAACCATTTTTCTTTTTCTTTGCTTTCTACAGCTTCCTCATAACATTATGGTTCACTTGCATCACTGAGCATAACATACTCACGAGGAGAGTATTTCTTTGATGGCACTCGTTCTCTAGTAGACCTTCTCAGCTGTGGTTCTTCTTGAGTTTGAGGTTGCTCTTGTGGTACTTGAGGAGCTTCTATGGACTGTTCCCCCTCTTCATGATCAACTTCACTTAGGTTTCCACTTGAAGCGCTATCATCATCAACCACATGATCTTGTAATTCTTCTCTATTTTCACCATGCACTAAAAAGGAAGGAATCGGATCCAAATCAGCAAAACTTTCATGCTTTGATTGTGATTTTGTAGAGCTCTCAAGTTCAACTATTTGGTCTTCAAGAAAAATCACATCTCTGCTTCTTATTAGCTTCTTGTCAATTGAATTCCATAACCTGTACCCAAATTTCTCATCTGCATAACCCAAGAAAATGCATTGCTTGGATTTTCCATCAAGCTTGGACCTTTCATCTTTGGGAATATGCACAAATTCCTTGCAACCAAACACCCATAGATGGTCATATGAAACATCTCTCATTGCCCACACCTTTTCTGGCACATCTCCATCCAAAACAATTGAATGAGACGTATTAATTAAATAGCAAGCAGTACGCATTGCCACTCCCCAAAAAGATTTTGGCAATTTAGCATGTGAAAGCATACACCTAACTCTTTCCTCAATGGTGCGATTCATCCATTCAGCCACACCATTATGTTGTGGAGTCTTGGGAATTGACTGTTCATGCCGAATACCATTGCTTTTACAATATTCCTCAAATGGACCAATGTATTCACCTCAAATGTCTGTACGGATGCATTTGAGGAGTTTTCCTATTTCCCTTTCAACTCTAGCATGAAAATGTTTAAATATTTTTAAGACTTCATTTTTATGTTTCATGGTATATGCCCATACTTTCCTAGATGCATCATCGATGAATGTAATAAAATAAGAGGTACTGCCAAGGGACTTGGCTTTCATGTCACATACATCGGAATAAACTAATTCCAAAACATTTTGCTTTCTATGAGGAGGATTTCTTTGAAAAGAAATTCTTTGTTGTTTACCAGCAAAACAATGAATGCATGAATCTAAATGCGTACCTTTCAAGCCCGGGAGGAGTTGTTTCTTGGCAAGAACTTAAAGTCCTTTCTCACTCACGTAACCAAGCCTCTTATGCCATAGGTTGGAGGAGTCATTTTTTGTAACATTCAGCTACCCCTTGCATAACTGAGCTTTCATTCTATAAAGAGTACAACATCTTCGCCCCTTTGCCACTACAATAGATCCTTTGGTGAGCTTCCTTTTTCCTTCACCAAAATTGTTGTTGTAGCCTTCATCTAATTTTCTTACAAAAATTAGGCTGAAGCGAAGATCCGGTATGTGCCTCACATCCTTGAGAACTAATTTATAACCAACATCGGTCTCTATTTGTACATCACCTAACCCCACAATTGTTGACATGTACTTGTTATCCATTTTTACAACACAAAAATCACCTGATTTGTAAGTAGAAAACAGTTCCTTGTGCGGAGTAGCATGGTATGATGCACCAATGTCAATAATCCAATCTATGTCTTGGCATGTAAGACTAAAACATGACTCTTCACATCTTGTAAAAATCATAATCTCACCATCTAAAATTACTGCAGTCGTCTCCTTTCATTATTTCTTTTCACCTTTTTCTTTCTTTTTGTCACTTTTTAGTTTTCTGCATTCTCTCTTGAAGTGTCCCGACTTATTGCAATAATGGCAAGTGATGTCTTTTCTTGACTTGGATTTACCTCTTGACCTGTCATGGTTGTATGGATCTCAGCTTTGACTTCTATATCGACTTTCTGTAAGAAGTGCATCTGATTTACTAGTGTCCAATGATTTTCTTCTAATTTCCTCATTGAGCAAGCTACTTCTTACCATACTCATTGTGACTTTTCCTTTGGGTGTAGGGTTACTAAGACACCACAAGAGTCTCCCAACTTTCTGGCAATCTCAGTAACAATAAGGCTTAGAGCTCATCATCCAACACCATTTTCATTGAAGCCAACTAATTTACAACATCTTGCATTTGGTTCAAGTGTTCAGTAATGGACCAACCCTCCTTGTACTTCAAATTTACGAGCTTCCTTATTAAGAAGGCCTTATTGCCGACGGTTTTCTTCTCATACAACTCTTCCAACTTGTTCCAAAGAGGAATAGTTAAAGTTTCATTTGCCACAAGATGATAAATACTATCATCCAACCATTGTTGAATGCATGTAACAACTTTCAAGTCAAGAATTTCCCATTGGTCACTTGACATATCCTTGGGTTTGCCTTGTTCACCTTTCAATGGTGCATACAAGTCTTTGGAGAGCAACATATCTTTCATCTTTGATTTCCAAAGAGACCAATCGCTTCCATTCAATGAAATCATCCTAATTGAATTTCCTTCCATGATTTGCACAAGAACCAATAACCAATAACTCTGATACCACTTTGTTGGGAAAAATCACCTATATTTTTCTTTGTGCAAATCAGGGATATCTGAACCAATAAATAACAAATATGCAGTAATGAAAATGAATAACAAAAAATAGAGCAAGCAACAGTAGTAGACACTAAGTTTTTAACGTGAAAAACCCCTCAATGTGAGGGTAAAAACCACGGGACCAAAATCCAAATCATCCACTATCAACAATGAAAATGGGATATGATGTTTTTTCTATCTAGTGAGAACTAGATGATGAACAACAAGAAAACTCTTGTGTTCCAACAACAAAAACATCAATGGAGTAAATAGCAAATAGGAAATCTCTCACCAAAGGTGGAAACGCAGCAATGGAAACAAGAAGAGATGTTGAAAAATGGATTTGTCTTTCTCGTTTCAGCCCTTGTAAATCTCCTTATTCCCAAAAACTTTTTCTCAAAACCTCTTTCTGTTCTCTATTATCACCTAGAGAGCTACTGAAATTGAGAGAGTAGAGAGTATGAGCTCTCCCAATTCGTTGGACACCAAAGACGTATTGGCTTGCAAGACAAGCCAAATAATACAAAAGTCCCTTTTTAGTTGATTTTCCCTTTTTGTCCTTTTCACTTCATTTCATTTTGTCTTTCTTATTTGTGGGTCCCACCTCATGAGGAGTACAACCTAACACTCTCTTCTATCAATGGAAAAATCACCAAGGCTTAGCATAAAAGATTTCATCTTAGATAGCTCTACACTCGACTGTATATATTAGAGGGATGAAGCACTAAGGTTGCCTTGAGAAAAACCATCCACATCCACCTTAATCCAATCGGTATTAGAAAGAGCCAAAGTACAAGTTGGATTTTTTTTCCTGCTTAACATGGAGAGGTTTTATATTTAAAAGACCAGGGATCAAAGAAACCATTGAAGGTGGGCTCATGTCTATGCATTGACCAATGAAACTCCCACATGTAGGCTTTGTTCGCTTTTCTATAAGTTCTTTATTCAAAGAAGCATTTACCCGAGTAAATGCATTTACCCATGTTCCTTTTATTTCTCATGTAAATAAGGCAATGACTATTTTAGCCATAAAAATCCATTATTAAAAGGGACATTTTTGTCCCATTCAAGTATTGGGATTCTTCAAAAATCTGAGAAAAGAACTTGGGATTCTTGGTCAAGGGAACCAAAATCCCTTTGACCAACTTTCCCCTCTCTCAAAATCCAAAAAAGAACGCCCCCTTAGAGTCATATACTTCATTAATAACCATGCTAGATGTCCTTTGTCTGAAATAAAGTGCCATAAATAAGAAATATAATTAATGATGGAATTGAAATGCAAACAAAATTGCTCCCCTCCCGAATTTTCTTCAATGCATTGGCTTTCCTTAGAGATGATCATGGGCTCATGGCCCAGGCCAGGTTTTTATTGAGTATCAACAACATTAAGGCACCAACTGAGGGTTAACTCGATGGTGTTTTAACTGGTTTATTCCAGCATTGATGCAGAATCAAATCCTGCAACCAAAAAAAAAATATTAAAGCTTGCCTAGGCTTGGCCCGCACCTTATGCTTGATATTACATGTTCCGTTTTGTCTGAACATCTGGGTTAACCTGTATGAATTAAAATTTTAATTTTAATTTAATTTTGTATTCATAATTACAGAAAAATATATTTACAAAATTGTTGTGTATATATTAATATATAATACTATATATACATCCCACATATATGTTACACATATACAAATAATTTCTGGGCTGGGCGGGCCAGTCAGGCTAAGGCCTAGCCCAGGCCCAGAATGCATTGCGTGTGGGCTTGATGGGCCGGGCCGAGCCGAGCCTGACAGAAAAATGGCTACCCAGGCCCGGATATTCGCGGGCCGGGTCATAAATGATCATCCCCAGCTCTCCTTCTCTTTTGACGATTATTGAAAACGAAAGTGATCTCCAATTTTCCATGATGATATTCATTCTTACTCTGGTTTCAAAACTGCCACGTGGCACCTCATGCTTCCCGAGCAATTTCTTATATAGATCTTTGTAGTTTGCTTGTCTTGGCTTTTCGGCTCTAAACTTAATTTTAATTCGACTGTAGTCTCGAGTCGAGAAGACCAACCAACCGCCATGGCAGTGGTCTGCAACTTCTACTCTCTTACAGACCTTGCCAAGCGCTTACCTTCGGCCTTTATCCGCCAAAACCCACCTCAGCTTGTAAGCACTTTCTGCCCCATTTTTAATATTTCATTCATTTTTGCATTTTCTTATGTTAATTTTAGATTTGGATGGAGAAGCTCAATCTGTTGATTCATTCATACTTTTTTTCGTTCTAATTATCGCTACTGAATTTTATTTTGATTTCTGTGTACTTTTTACTACACGATGGAGTTACTAACTAGTTACTAAAGTTCTTCTGTAAATGACTTGTTTGTAAATAACTCCTGTTGTGTTGAACTGGGTTGAGAAAACCCTTTTTAATGTGGTCATGAAATCTGCAGGGTTAGGTACACCCCTTGGACTCAAAATGAAATAGCCCATAAATTAGACTATAATGTCTGTATATATAGTAAAAAATTATTGATAGACTGTCCTGATGGTCAGATAGATGTAAATACTATGAAAGATCTAATATAGTGTTGTTTTTTGGAGTGCAAAAAAAAAAAAAAAGAAAAGAAAAGCATTTTCTTTGTTGAGTTACTCTTTTGTTGTATACTAATTGTTGAAATGAAAATTTAACTTTCAAATATTTGAATTGTAGGTGAAGTCACCTTCAAGACAAAGTTTCCAAAATTCAAAACATCCATCTAAAGTTAGTGCTATATTTTGGGGGCCTAGGAAAACAGTGGAGCTACATGAAATGGATCTTTCACTGGGGGAGTTTACTGTGACAGGGTCTGGCCTAGAGGTCTTATTTTGTTGCTCCTATTTAGCATGTTTTATTTATCACACTTTCATTTCTATGCTTAATACTGCTGTTACCTTTTTACACGTAGGGAGCCTCATCAAATGAGGTCAGACCCCAGAAAATATCTCTATCAGTGGTTTCTTCAATCTCAGAGGTCTCACCAAACGAGTGGGATGCATGTGCTGTGGATGCTATTGGCCCCGAAAAAATCAATCCGTTTCTTACCCATGGTTTCCTTTCAAGCTTGGAAGAGTCAGGTTGTGCGGTGAAGGTAAGCTATTAATCATTCATATATTTTTGAGTCCCTAAGGGGGTGTTTGGTTTGTGATTTGATTTTGTTTCTCTGTGGTTTTGAGCCCGAAAACAATATTTGGGCATCACTGGACGCAGTTTGTGGTTCCAGGACTGCACTATGCAGTTTGTTGGGCACATCTTCTTCATAGCTTAAGAAAAAAAAAAAGAAGACCAGAGGATTTTCTGGTTCAAAAATGATGAAGAAGAACCAATTTAACACTGGTATTTGGGCCACTTTGACATTAGAAAGAATGCCTACTTGGAGTTGAACAATAAGAATGTTTTGGTTGTACAGTTGTACTTATAATCAAAAGAAATCTTGAACTGATCATAGGGTTAGAAAAACCCTAAAAAAGATCCAGAGAAATCAGAAAACTTCCAGCCACTCCTTCCAGATGACTCTAATCAGATTCAGATTGATGTCGATCTCAAAAACAAACTAAAACTTACCGAGAACAGGCTGGCTGCCACCTCCAATCCTCAGTCTGAACCCTAATCTTGAACTTCCTTCATTTTCTCTGATTCTTCTTGATCACTGGATACTTTCCAAGGTTCTACAATCCCTTGGGCATCTTCCGCACTCTACCAGCAATCTTGGAGAACCAGCCGATTGACCAATCTTGATAAAACTTCCAACCCTAGGAAGTTCTCATGCAGTCGGCTTGATTAGACTCACATGAGAAGCCCCAGGTTGGCTCTGATACCAACTTGTTTAGTAAAGACTGTAATCAGTCTTAAGTTAGATGTAAATTCAACAAGAAAGTATGCAAGGAATAGAAGAGGAAGAAGAAGAAGATAGAAAACGAAGAGGAGAGAAATCAGAAAAGAGTGTGGGTCATAACTAGAGTTGCCGCCCCACTCAGCTATTTATATTAATAGTTTAAAACATGGTAAAATTCTAGTACTGCCCCTACTGCTTACATAAGCTAAAAGATAATTGAAATAACCAAACTAACACAGCTAACATACTAACAACAACATAAATAACATAAAGAAACATTGCCATAGTGGGGACCACAAATAATCATATTAATGTTCCACATCTCTACACCCCTCTTTGATGTAAGGTAGTCGCATAGACTTATTGGGACCATGCATAATACTGCTTATGCTATTGGGGTGCTAAGCCAGTATATGTATGCCCTAGGACCACTCATCTTGCCGCTGCAGAGCATGTTCTAAAGTACTTGAAGAAATATCCTGGTAGAGGTATTCTCTTTTCCAAGCATGGCCACTTGAAGGTAGAGACCTTCACTAATGTTGATTGGGCAGGCTCAGTTGATGATGGGAGATGTACCACAGGTTACTGCACCTTTGTTGGGGGGGAATTTGGTAACTTGGAGAAGCAAGAAACAAGTGGTGGTTCCTATGTCAAGTGTGGAAGTTGAGTATAGGGCCATGGCACATGGAGTTGCAGAAATGTTGTGGTTCAAGAATATGTTAAAGGAATTGGGATTTGAAGTTCACAACCCAATGTCATTGTATTGTGACAAGAAGGCAAAAATTAATATAGCTTACAATCTTGTGATGCATGAGAGAACAAAGAATATTGAAGTTGACAAACATTTCATCCATGAGAAACTTGAAGCTGGTGAAGTTTGCATTCCTTGTGTAAAATTTGTGGATTAGTTAGGTGATATTTTCACCAAGGGTATTTTAGGTACCTGACATGTTGATATATGTACCAAGTTGGGAATGATAGATATATACAGCTCAACTTGAGGGAGAGTGTTGTTAAGAATGCTATTAGACTGTTATTGGGCTGGTTTTATTGTATTTTTTTGTTAAGTTGTAATTAGGGACATTTTTGAAATTCTCCTTTTATTTTAAACACCAAAATATGTAAGTCAGTAAAGGCGCTGTCCCTGCCATCTTTTGCGAGTTTTTGTGTATTTTGTGAAGATGATTGGTAGGGCCTTGCTGCATTGCTTTGGGTCCCTCTTTGCCAATTTTCAACTTTTCTCTTGGGATTGCTGTAGATTGTAATTCTTGGTCATTTAACAAGGTATTGCATTATAGATTAAAAAAAAAAAAACTAGAAAGGAGGGGGACCATATATTAAGATGTCTTGACATAATGAACTGTTTGCCTTGAGAAATAGTGATGATTACTTGGTGAACCTGATGATTAGTTGGTATATTCAAGGTTTAAAATGTCGATGTCAGTGGAAATGTCGGTCACCCAAATATAAGAAACATGTCAGAAATGTCGGAAATATCGTATGGAAATATTGTAAAAATCATAGACATGTTGGAAACAGTGTAAAATATAGAATGATATTTGATGAAATGATAAAAGAAGCATAGGCACACCTTTTTAAATCACTAAACAAAGCTAAGAAACTGAGGTTATAGACAAAAAAATACCTTCTAAAGTTGCTCTGTAAACCTTAAGATTCAGAGTTTTATAATAGAATGAGTTAAAAACTTAAAAGTAAAATTTAAACTCATAGAAAATGTAAATGATTGTAATAGATCATCTATATAATCTATTACACGAACAAAAAATTAATATGTAACTTCATGTTTGAAATGAATATTGACCTAGTTCAAAGTGGTTATAATGTAAGTTAGGCGTAAAATAACATTGTTACTTCACATATCTGGAATATTGTCACCAACTTATGTTATAATATTCTTGGACTCCACATAGTACTGGTAGTGTTCATTGGGGAATATGTCAATTCCAATAAAATTTCATGTCACTACCCATGGAAGTGGAAATGGAAATATGTGATGGAAACTATCTCTTATACTCCACATAGTGCTAGTAGTGTTCATTGGGGAAATGTCGGTTATGGTAAAATTTTGTGTCGCTAACTATGGAAATGGAAATATGTCATGGAAATATTAGGGAAATTAGGGAAATTTTAAACCATGGGTATATTTGTTGCTTTTTAGTGACTGCTTTTAAATTTGACAATATAAAAATGTGTAGTTCAACTTAAATGGTTACCCTCTTTTTTTTTTTTTTCTAGAATGTAGTACCGTATAATCAAGTGGAGTCTAATGTAGGATTGCATAGAATGTTTAAAAACATTTAGGTGCGAATTGAGGCACCAAACCTTTAGATGTATGAGGCATAAGCCTTATGAACTACTATTTTCTAAGAAAATATGAAACCAATATGAAAAGTGTAGAAACATGCAAAAGAGGTGTAAATAGGTAGATTAATCCTATTCAGTTCTAGGTTCGAAGTATGAGAAGAAGAAGAAGAGAAAGAGAAGAAGGGTTCAGCCAGGAGAGAAAAAGTCCCCCAGCCCAGCCGACCACTTTGTATTTATAGTGAATAAGCTAAATTACAAAAGACATTATTGTCCCTTACTAGAGATGGGACACTTAACTTAAACTTGAATAAAACAAACCATTCACTTTTAACTAGGTAGACAAAAGACCAAAATACCCCTATACTGTTGACTCTAACACTCCCTCTCAAGCTGGAGAATATATGTCACATAGTCACAGCTTGTCACATATGTAATCTACTCTGCCCCGAGACAACCCCTTTGTAAATAGATCTGCCCATTGGTTTCTTGAACTCACATGAGATGTAGTTATCATTCCACTAATCACTTTTTCTCTTACAAAGTGGCAATCAACTTCAATATGCTTTGTTCTCTCATGGAAGACTGGATTAGAAGAGATGTGTACAACAACTTGATTATCACAGTATAACCTCATGGGTCTGTCAATTGAGAACTCCATCTCTTGTAACAAATTCTTCAACCATACTAGTTCACATGTAGTATGAGCCATAGCCCTGTACTCAGCTTCTGCACTGCTCCTTGCCACCACTGTTTGGTTCTTGCTATTCCAAGTTACTAGATTGCCACCAAGGAAGGTACAATATCTACTAGACAGTTGTATGCCCTTAGTTCCAATCAGAATGATGTACATTATGAATTTATTGTAAATGAATAAAGTACATATTTGATTCATGTTCTTGTGGTGTGTTTCTGTGTAATACCCTTAAACTGAACACTTATGAGACTCGTGTTAGTTTAGAATGTTCACAGCCGTTAGGTAATTCTAGGGAGATTTATCCTGTCAAGGCTGACACTGGTTTGCTGCCAAATGTTGGAGTGGCCTGTCTTAGCCGTCAGGGTGAGACCCAAGGCACATGCAGTATAGGATTAATTGAATCTTTGAACTGGACCAGATTTCCAGTATTGTTCTGGACTTTGGAGATTGATGAGCAAAACTGGAAAGTTACACCTGACCCCTAGACTCGATTATGATACTGCACTAGGTGTCGGATTGGGCTGTCTTTGATATGCCAATCATCTGAGTGGGTGATCATAGTGACAGGATCAG